CCCCTCCGCCGGCCCCGGGCGCGGCCGCGCCGCTCCCGCGCCTTTCGCTCCCTCCCCTGCACCCTGTGAGGGACGTGCGCGATTCCATAACATCCGTGTCACAGCCGCTCCGCGAGCGACGATTTAACAGGCGCCGAAATGTGGCCAGATTAAAACGTTCTGAAGTTGGAACTGATGCAAGTGACAGGAARCAGCGAGGTTGCACAGTCTGGTCCGCAGCTACACAGATGGAGCTCGGGTGTGGATTTTAATGGGTTGTGACAGGTTTAACTAACTGCCAGGGAACACATTTCAAATCACCTTCCTTTCTGTCAAAACTCTAGCACTCTGCAGCCTCTGAATTATTTAAAAGTACAAATGCAAATAACTTGGGTTTCGTTATTATTCTCTGCTTGTAAAACACACAGCTCAGCCAGTTTTATAGAGATTAATGCCTGAATCGAGAGAGTTGTACATGAGATTATGGAGCAGAAGAAATGCACCTCAACGGAGATCTGAAAGCACTTGTGATACCTATTAYCTTTTGCTGTAATATGTTTCTCCTATGAAATTCATGCCTTTAGCAAAGATGGTCCCTTTCTCTGAGACAGAGGTGATCAGAGGAAGATTGCTTTGGAAGCCCTTCTTTCCAGARTAAAAGTTTTGTGGAGTTAGAGGGGGTTAGAGGGGGTGTGAGTGGAAATGAACATCTGTTCCAGAAACCCAAATAGTTTTTCTGTTAGGTTGAGMAAAAAGTTGATTTCGTACATGTGAAAAGACCACATTCAGGACTAAAGCCTGCTGATGCTACCACCGTGCTTTGTGAAAAAACAGGATTTAAGTTCCCGTGCAGCACCGCCCCTCRGGGCCAGGCTCTGTGCCTGCCACAGTGCCCCATGTCTGCCACCACAGCCTGTGGTGTTTCTGTAGCAGAGAGAAATAAGGCACAACCAGTGCAGGAGGATGTGGTTTAATGCTGAATCGAGCCAGATAATTTTGATGCAGATACCATGCTATACCATTTGTTCTGCTAAGCAGAAATGTTTCTACATTTCCAAATAAAACGGTTGAGTCTGAGAMTTATCCACTAGATGAAAAAGGAATTCTGCTGAAAACGTTTTTGTAAGAAATTTTAATTGTGTTYAAGCTCAACGTCCTTATTGAGAGAGAATTGCTTAAGTAGACCTACCTGGTGGTGGTTCTTCAGTAGTAGATTCAGAGAGGAAATCCTGCAGATCTCTCAGTTTGAGAAGAAACAGGTGCAGTTTTCAGGGAAATGWGGAAAGGGCGATGCTTAGGCACAAGTTCTCACACTTAACTCCAGCATCAAGGACAATTATCAGAAAACATACAGTAAAAAGGAGACCTAGACTATCCTGGTGGCCAACCACCAGCAGGCTTTGCTCCAGCACTGAGGGCGGTTCCAGAGGCTCCCTGGTAAATCTGTGTCCCCGGYCCATGCAATTCCCTCAGCGCTGCCGGGCCCCTCTCCTATCGCCTCTTCTCGACGCCCTGGCACCCCGTCACAGTTTGTGCTGGCCGTGCTTTTTCCCGCTGTGTGGCAGTGGTTTCCCCGGAGTCAGAGGGAGCGGTGTGGGCTGTCACAGTGGTGCTGGCARAGGACAGGGAACTCAGCAAATGCTGGCAATTGGCACACACCGCCGGGCCGGCGTGAGGTGAGACCCCTCGGGAGAGCCGAGCACTGTGATTGGTCCCCCCGSCCCCCCGGGGCGCCTTTCGGACAGGGCCGGCCAATCGGGAAGGCCGTTACATGCGCGGTATGCGCCCGTCCGGGAGGATGCCGGTGCGGACCGGGCACAGCGAGGTCTCTGCGTGTCCCCSTGGGTTCTGGGGGTGACAATCTGATCCTATTCGTGTTTTGTCTTACTGGCGTGAGCGGGCAGGACAGCGCTCACCACCTTCCTGGCATCTCTGGCCAGAGGAGAGCGGCGCGGCCTCGTGTGCACAGCCGGGCCCGCTGGCAGGGGCGGCCTTTAGCGGGTAATGGCTGGTACAGCTGATGGCCTTTCTTTTTCAAGTGATCTGTTGGGTTAAAGCCTTGTGCTGATGACAGCTGCTGTTGTGTAGGAGTGCCTTTCATGTAAAAACAGTAGCTGTAACCAAGCCGCCCATGGTCCATGTGCAGTTTTTGGCCGTTCTCCATTGGGAGCCTGTGTTAGTGCCCGTCTGGGAATGTGGCGCAGTGGGGTTCAGGGCGGGCGGGGGCTCGGGAGGAGCTTTGCTTGTTGGAACAGAACTTGGTCCTTTGGTTGGATGAACCCTATGAACTTCTTCATTTGGGAAAGAGCTGTGTTGTGAAGGTCGTAATCAAAAGGCTTTACGATGCAAAAGTTAAGTTAGTGATATTCAGCACGTCTATGCAGTCCAATTAGGATTCATGTATTACTCTTTTAAATCATAACTATGAATGGAAATGCATCTCTGACTTTCTAATAGCTCCTTAGAAGTAAAAAAAATACTCTTGCACACAATTAGAGAGCCACTGTCTCTTTGCATGTTCAAGAGSAGGGTGTGTAGTAAGTGTGTTTGTCATGTGGATGAAATTCTAGGGCCCCTGGGACTAGCTTTGGCTTTAATCTCAAATGCAGCYATGTGAACTATCAGTAGTAAATAACCTCTGTGCAAGTAGCAGGGGTAAAGGATCTGTCTCCTTTGCAAGGAATTTCAGTCATTGCATTAGGTCCATGGAACAAAAAAAAAAAAATTATGGAAAACACTAGACAGAATACTGTGCCCATTTATCAACTCTTTCTTACAATGATATATATCTACCAGTGTATTTGTTCATTGTTACTCATTGCATGGGTTTTTTTCTGATCAAGTGGAGAAGTGGATTTCTGTAAATATACTGTAAATCTCAAATTCACCTCTATTGCACATCCTATACCTGACTTGTTCTCACCAAAGGAGTTGAATTTTGAAACTGAGACTACTAAAAAAATAATAAAAATAGATTCTACATCCTTATTTAATTTTCTTTACCTGCAGGCATTTGTCCCATAGACTGAGGTGAGAATTTTTCCCTGTTATGGCACTATTTTTCTATCCATTMAAGAAATACAGTCTGTTTTTTGCAGAGGTTTTTAATATTTATTATTTTCTTTCTACATAATTTAGAGTTTTGTTTAGCTACACATGCATAGCAGCAGAATAATTTTAAATGGAATCCACCCTGTTTTGCCTTTCCCAAAATAGCTCATTGTTTTAAATTACAGGAATATGAAACTCAAAAATGCTTTGTGAAATGAAAACAGTTTTATGGACTCTGTTAACAGGAACTTTAAACAGAATAGAACAAAGTCCTTATACAAATGCCAGACATGTTTTATTTTGCATGGCCAGAATAAAAAAAAAACTGAGCTATAGCAACATTTTTTATAACTGGTGTAAAAACTTCGTTCCGATTAAGAAGATGCTGTAAAACAAATAATAGTGGAAGACTGCAGCATGCAAAATTGGGCAATCTGAAGTAACAATTTTATGAGTGGGAGATATGAGGAATTTTATCTGAGAGAAATTAGTTTATTATTCCGAAGAACATGRTAAGAGCTAAACATGCAGTTTTAGTAGCAGATATTTCATCAGAACTTTCATTGCATGAGTTTGCTCTTTAATTTTTTCTCTTTTCACACACTTCTGCTTTAGATCTAGTGAATAAGGTACAAAAAGTGTAAACCACAGGAGTTCTGTGGACTTYAGGGAAGAAACATCATTTTATGTCATCTCAGGAAGCTCTTTATGAGAACAGGAAAATGAAAAGGCCATGTAGCCCCTCTCCCTATTTCAGTTCCTACACAGCATCTGTAAGATGATTTCATTTAATTTTACTTTGTCTGTGTAAATAGTTCCTTTTCCAGTAAAACAGAAGAAACAAAGAAAAAAGGAAACACAGAAAATTACAAATACCTCTGCCTGCATTTTTACAGTACTTGTAGCCACAATCCTATACTTTGAMAGAATCTATCAGTCCATACTGATGCTTTCCTGTGGTTCTGCCTTAAGTGATTTTATGTTTTGAGGGTGGGCTGTGGAAAGAAAAGGGAGTAAAAGGGGACAGAATTATAAAGCCTACGGTCTGCAGCTCTCTCAAAGATAAGCTTGCCTAACGCTGTCTCTGTGGTTGATACCAGGTTATTAATAATGTGGAACTGCAGAAGATGGGAAGAGAAGGAGGCAATGAACAGGCTTCTGCCAGAAGTGAGCCACACTCTTCACTTGCACAGTGTTGTTTTCACCACACATCCTGGTGTCTCAATGAAGGAGTGAGTATCAGACATTTAGCTTCATCTTCAGAATCCTTTTAGCTTATTTTAATTTGGACAAATCGCTGTCTTGCATCAAGTAATGGCTTGAATTCCTATCAACATCACTAATAAGTCTCCAGCTGTTAAAAACTTATACCGTAAAAAAAAAAAGAAAAAAAAATGCTCTAGTGGCTTGCTTACATTTGGCAGTACTTTTGCAAAAGGTGGAGGTAAGGCTTGAATATTCAAGAAGTCAAGAAGCCATTTTTACCCGTGAATCAACAGTCAGCAACTTAAGCTATTTCAGAAGCACAGCAAGAAGCTTTGGTGGGCTGAGAAAGCATTGTAAGCTAAAGTGACAGCAATGTGCTGTGTCACTGAGCTTCCAGGACTGGCTGTGACAGCAATCCAAAATGCCCAGATATTGCCCATTGTGCTCTTGTAACTAATGATTGCACACAAAATAGCAGAAATTATTAGCATGGCAATTATAAAAAAAAATAATT